GTGAGGAGAGTGAGATGGACAAGGTAAAATTGTCAGGAGGAGTTGTTAGAAAGTAAAATATATTGTGACAATTCCACTCCTGCCGTTCATCAATAAACTGACAGATCATTTAGTGTCAATTAGGAGTGATAGATGGACAAGTCCCCATGATCCTGGGCCAAAATTAATGGCTGGGAGGGAGAGGGTGATTGAAAATGACGGCTGACATTGAGAGCAAAGTCCTGAAAGTCCCTGAGGGGGCATTACTTGCCTCATTCCCTTGCAGATCAATGCAGGGACAAACCAAAAAACAGACACTTTGAGACAAAACTTAATCAGACTACCTTTCCTTCCTCTCTTTACCAAGTCTGGTTGCCTCTCTTTTAGCTCCTTTCCCCATGGCCAAGTCAGTGCCCCACTTTAGGCAACTTCAGAGCCAACGAAAGCCTGGCTTCAAGATGGAATCTTTGGCACAGCAATGACTTTGGTGACAGGAGAAGGGACAGGTTGTGATCCCAGGTCCCAGGCAGTTCTTGAATACAGCCTATTCCTGTGGCTCAGGGGTGAGCAATTGAGTTCTAGCACCCAACATCTCTAGTCCATGCTCTGTACCCTATCTTGGGTAGTGTTATACAAATAAACCAAAGGTATCAGCAGTAAAAAAGAAGAAAATCCTAGCCCTAACTTTTTGTGAGAGCGTGACGGACCTGGAGAGTATTATGCTAAGTGCAATAAGCCAGTCAGAGAAAGACAAATACCACATGATTGCACTCATATGTGGAATCTAATAAACAACATAAACTAACAAACAAAATAGAAACAGACTCATAGATACAGAGAATAGACTGACAGCTGTCAGAAGGAAGAGATTTGGGCGGGCTGGGTGAAAAAGGTGAAGGAATTAAGGAAAAACACACCTAACAGCCAAGACAACATTATAAGGATTACCAGAAGGAAAGAGGGGTAGGGGAGGTAGGAGAAGGAAAAAAGGGGGGTAATTGGTAATGGAAGGAGACTTGACTTGGGGTGGTGAACACACAATATACAGATGATGTATTATAGAATTGTACACCTGAAACCTATATAATTTTATTAACCAGTGTCACCCCAATAAATTAAAATCAATCAATCCATCAAACAAACAAACAAAGGTATCCGGGAAACTCACATCCTATGGCTGAGGACCTCAGTCAGATCTGTAAAGAGCCCTTCTAGTTCCTACTGTAGCTTCACTTTCCTCCTACCTCCCTCGTAAGAGGATGCCTACTGTACAGAATGGAACCCACCCAACAGGAGTTTGTATGATGCACATATAAAGTGTGGAATGAATATCTGTGCTCCCCCTAATCCCGAATGTGATGGTGTTTGGGTTAGATGAGGTCATGAGGGTGGAGACCCCATGATGGAACTAGTACTCTTATACAATGAGGAAGACACACAAGATCTCTCTCCCTGTGTGTGCACACACCAAAGAAGGCTATGTGAGGACAAGCCAGGGAGAGGACCCTCTTCGAGTACCTGACCATGCTAGCACCCTCATCTCGGACTACCAGCCTTCAGAACTGTGAGAAATAGATGTTTGTTGTTTAACTGCCCAGTCTATGGCATTCTGCGATAGGAGCCCAAACTATCATCCCAAACTAGCACCTGTGCGAGCACAGGTGCCTCACACAGTGCCATTATCATCAACAATTTAAGCTAAGTACACTACTTTTCAGTGTGAATCCTCTGCTCTAATCAGACTGACAATGAGGTTACTGCCCTGCAACACTTATGTCTATACCAATCCTTGAGCCAAATGCCCTCCTCATGAACCTCTTGGCCATCAGATTCACCCAGCTTGATGTCTATCATCTCTGCACAGGACTCCCTGACCACTGTGATTACTTTCCTTTGAGGCCACATCACCAGTGTCAGCCATTCCATTCAGTTCTCACCATGTGCTCCTTCTGCCTTCCTGGTTTTTGTGAATGAAAACGCCTGGTCTCCCTAACTGGAATCCAGGCTCTTGCAGGGCAGGAAGCACATTTACTCTCTGGACTCCCTGGAGCACCCTGCAAATAGCAGGAGCTCATGTTTCCCAGCCTTCACAGAGCAGGTTCTCAATGGAGCCCAACCATCGCCTCTCTTACCGAGTCAGCTCCCTTTCCTTTTTCTCTCTCTAATCTGTTCTACTTGCCTCCAGATGCCAGCTCTCCTTTGCTCCAACAAGTTCAACAGTCAAGTTGCCTTCCTACTTTGAAAAAGAAAAAAAAAAAGGCTAATTCAAAATGAAATTCCCTACTCCTCTCCAGCTTTCTTGATAAACCAGCCTTTCCAAGCTTTCTCCTGTCCTAGATGAAAAATTCTCCCACCTCCTCCTGTCCAAGGTTAACTAGTCTCTCTTGAAGGTCTTAACCTTATTCCTCCTTTAGGATCCTACTCCTTCAAATCTGCCCTATTTCCTCTGACTCGCTCTTTCCCCAGATATTACACACCGATTCACAACACAGACATCCCCTTTCAAATACTGTCTTTCCTTTGCTTCTCAGAGCAGTAGCCTATATTACTAACCCCACTTCCTCACGTCCCACTTCCCTTCCCTCACTGTAATCTGCCTTCTGCCCCAAAGCAAATCACTGTAACCACTTCCTCAAATGCCCCTAGTAGCCTCCAAACAGCCAAATCCAAGGTTCCATCCTTCTTTTCCCATTTGTGTAACAGATGACTCAAATTGCACCTCCTTTTTGCACTCTCTTCTAGACTCCCAAACTGTGGAAACAACATACAGGACCACCACCAGCCCCAAATCAGGTCTCTCCTCCTGCATTCTCTATCACTCGACACCACTACCTAACCCAGGGGTGGGGAACATCTGGCCCTTGGGCTGTACAAGGCCTAAGAATCATTTGGTCTAGCCCTGCCAAGACATTAGGGTGAGTTAATTAAATGTTTAACCATATACAGCAGGCTAATTCTTAAGTTCATAATTTTGTATGGACTGCGAATGATATTATAAAAATCCAAATGGCCCTTGGCAGAAAAAAGGCTCCCATCCCTGAAACCAGTCCTCTAAGACAGGCACCTCGCAGTGACCTTCAACTCCTCCCTCTGCCCTGCACTCAACCAATGACACTTCTATTAACTCTACCTCTAAAACGTCTCCAAATCTCCTCACCTGTCCATGCTCACACCACTGCCATAGTGCAGGCTTTCCTCATCCTGCATACAGAGTGTTACCTTCCCAAGAGGTCTGCCAGCCTTCTGGAACTCTACTTCCCACTGAAAGTCAAATGATCAATCAGAAATACTGATCTGATCATTCATTTGCTCAATAACTAGTCACTTAGTGCTTATTATGGACTGGCACTATTTGAAATACTGGAATAAGACATCTCTGAGTATATCTTTCTATACCATTTGATACAATAAAAAGTACCAAATACTTTTTCTTGCCCAAAAGCATTAACTTGCCCTTGCTGGTTTTGCTCAGTGGGTAGAGCATCAGTCTGCGGACTGAAGGGTCCCGGGTCCAATTCCAGCCAAGAGCACATGCCGGGGTTGCAGGCTCGATCTCCAGTAGGGGGCGTGCAGGAGGCAGCCAATCAATGATTCTCTCTCATCATTGATGTTTCTATCTCTCTCTCCCTCTCCCTTCCTCTTTGAAATCAATAAAAATACATTTAAAGAGAGAAAAAGCATTAACTTGGATCTTATCATGAGGAATCAACCAGAGAAATGTGGATGTGAAACATAAAAAAATGTTTTGGGTGAAGGTGGCGGGGGAAGGGGAAGTGGGGAGGCTGGAGTTATTTTAGATCAAGAGACTAAAAGAGAGAATTACCAAACACAATGTGTGACCCGTGATTGGATCCTGGAGCTACAAGACCTTTTTGGGACAACTGGGAAAGTTTAAACTAGATATTAAATCATTATGAAATTTCTTAGTGTGATAATGACACTGATATTTGGAGGATGTCCTTCATCCTTAGCGATGCATGCTGAAGTCTCTAGGGGCAAAATGTCATGATGATTGCACTGCTACTTGTTTTCAAAATGATTCAGGAGGGGAGAGAGGGAGAGGGAGAGGGAGAGGGGGAGGGGGAGGGGGAGGGGGAGGGGGAGGGGGAGGGGGAGGGGGAGGGGGAGGGGGAGGGGGAGGGGGGGGGGGAGGGGAGGGGAGGGGGAGGGGGGGGGGGGGAGGGAGGGGGGGGGGGGGGGGGGGAGAGGAGGGGGAGGGAGGGAGGGAGGGAGGGAGGGAGGGAGGGAGGGAGGGAGAGGGAGAGGGAGAGGAGGGAGGGAGGGAGGGAGAGAGATTAGTGGTGGGAAGAGGAAGGTGTAAAGAATTGGGAAACAAATTTTGGATAGTGCTATTTTGAAGGCAATAACTGCTAAAGAAAAGTCTGACCAAGAGTAATGTATATTCTTTGAGAGAGGAAAAAATCTCTTCCTGAGTAGATCTTAAGTTGTTAAAATGGAGAGCTGGCCAGCCCACTGGTGTAATAAACACTTTTTTGGTTTCCCTTTCATCTAAAACTTAGTGCAAAGTATTAAAGACCAAAATGATTTGTAATCTAGCAGTTACTAACAGGCAACTCCATTCTGTTTACAAAATTACACTAAGAACAACACTGAATGCCACAATATGGGTCAACTTTGAAAACCTGATGCCAAGTGAAAGAAGCCGGTCACAAAAGACCACATAATGTATGATTCCATTTATATGACATGTCCAGAACAGGCAAGTCATAGAGACAGAGAGCAGATTAGTGGCTGTCTAGGGCTAGGGAGGCTGGGGGGACATGGGAAGTGACTGCTAATGTGTATGGGTTTCTTTGGGGGGAAATAAAAATGTGGTGACGACAGTACAACCCTGTGACTACACTAAGAATGACTGAATTGTACATCTGAAATGGGTGGACTGTAAGGTACATGAATGCATCTCAATAAAGTTGTTATAAAAAAAGAAAAGAACAACATGAGAGCAAAATGCCCAAACCCGCCCTGCGCACCCTCACCTCCCGCGAGCTGCTGGCACTCACTTGGAAGCCTTCATGGAATCATCGGCCCAGCCTCCTTGACGGCGGCGGGGTGGTTTGGGAGGGGGATCCTACAAGGAAAGAGAAGCCAAAATAACAGTCACTCGACATGTTCATTCAAGCAAGCAATGGCTGAGGGTAAGGTCACCTAACCCAACACTCAATCAATCAAAACCTTTCAAATAAAAATACAATAACCTTTCAATTCACTACAAAGATCTGGGTGCTTTCATACCCTTCTGGTGGGTATAAATTGGCAAGATCTGGAGGATAATCTGGCAATGTCTACTGAAAGCCTTAAAAATAAATGCTCATGCTGTTTGAGCTAGCAATTCTAATCCAAGGAATTTATCCCAAAGAAATAATCAGAGAGAAACACAATGTCATTTTTGAATAGTGAATACATAATTGGAAACAACTGAAATAGACAGCAATAGGAATTAAGTAAATCACAAAATACACATGTGAAAATACTGTGCAATAATAAAAAACTATGTTAAAAAAGAATACTTAATGATATTAAAAGGTTCATAATACATTAACTTTCAAAAACATGTAAAACAGTAGGCATATGCTTCTAATTTTGTGAAAAGATTGTTAATACCTAATATCTAATGTCAATTATTCTAAGTACATGGGTGAGAGGGGACTTCGTGACTGAATTATGGGAAATTTTTATTTTCCTTCTTTGTACTATTGGGCATCTTCCAAATTTTTAAATAATCAACTTATACTACTTTTATAAAGTAACAAAATAAATATGTGAGAGAGGCTTATTCTTGCCCAGCATATCTCAACTAAAAATCCCAAAGGACCATCAAGCAATCCACTCCATCACTCAAGTGGGATAAAACAGCAAAGAACAGTTCCTATTTTGAATTAGCCAGCATTTACCTAGATATTTTTTTAATACCTTCTCTCCCCTCCCCCCAAGAACTTCACATAATCATACCTGTTGTTCTCAGTCCAAGGAGACACTTAGGTAAATGGACTAACACAGGGTTGGGAAACATTTTCTATGAAGGGGTAGGGGTAAATATTTTGATTTTGGGGGCCCTCCAGTTTCTGTTGCAACTCTTCTACTCTGATACTGCAGGGCAATAAACAACCACAGGTAATAAGTAAGCAAGTGGGTGTAACTGTGTTCCAATAAAACTTTACAAAAATAAGCTGCGGGTCAAATTGGGCAGGAAGGATGTGGTCTCCTAACGCCTGGACCGAAATGTGTCACTACCCGTCCTTTAAATCTGTTGCTTAAGGACTAACATAACTTTTTAAGAAAACATGCCAGAATACCTTTCTACTAGCCTGACCCAACTGGAACCAATGGAATTCTCTGTCCCAGGAATCTGGAATTGAGGCTCAGAGGTTAGGCTGTTCAGACCGCGCTGAGACTGGAACTACAAGGACCAGCTGGAATCAGAATCACCCGAACCATGCCAGCCAAAGCTGTGTATAAGCAGAGACCAAGAACCTTGTCTTGCTGAGCTCTTACCATTGGTAAGGCACTGTGTTGGGGACACTTAAATGTTAAGAACTGAACTGAACTGCAGCAAGATGTTTTTACACCAATTTGCCTTTAAACCATCTATGTGCTTTTGCAAATAACACCTATATTTCATCACCCAAGATTAGAACCATTTTGTGATAATGTGAATTCTTGAGTTTAAAGGTCTCAAACTTGCATCCACGTGTTTTGTTTGGTCACACAGTGGCTTTGTTTTAAAATTTAAAAAGTTGGGGCGGAGGAAAGGACCCTTTTAAATCTGGCCTTAGCTGTCACTTTGACTAATGATGGATATCATATAGTTAATAAAATTTCCTAAAGTTTAAAAAACCAAAATGATCGCTTTATCCTTTTTAACTACAAACCCAAGGAAGCCATGGCTATTGGGAGGATGAGTGAAATCCTTCCCACCTAGAGGTAACAATACAAAGACACATTTTCTCTTATTATTTCCACTGCAAAATGGTACCAGAAGCTAAATTAGGACAGCAGCTTCAAAATGTGGGCGAAAGGGGGCGCTATAATAAACTAACAGAAAGTAACCTCACAGGGTGCATTGATTAAATTCCTACCTGGGCAGGTCATGAAGTGCCAGAAGTAATCCTGTTTTCTGACCACTCAAAGGCTAACCTAACCCTCTTTTCAACTATCCTGTAACCTGCTTTCTCCCACCTTCATGTAATCTTCCTTACATTCCCTCCTTAACTCTACATGTATAAAAGAAACTGCATAACTGTTATTCTCTGGAGCATCTGAGATCTTGCTTCCTGGCAACTGTCATCGGTTTGGCTCAAATAAATTCTTATAAAAATTCTCTACAGGCCTGGAATTCTTACATTGACAAAAACAAAAAGATCACCACATAACAATCACTCCTCCACATCCAATAGAATTCGACAACTAGTTCCAAAATCAAAGGTTTTGTTTTAATTTTGTTTTTTTTTTATCTTTAAATTCTTTATTAGTTAAGGAATTACAAATGTGTCCTCATTCTCCGCCCGCCCCCCTCCCCCGCCCCATTAACCCCCATCCTCCCCCACACTGATGCTCTCATTCCCCTGTTGTCCATGTCCATTGGTTTGGCTTATATGCATGCATACAAGTCCTTTGGTTGATCTCTTCCCCTTACCCCCTCCCTCCCCTATTTTCCCTCTGGGGATTAATAGTCTGATTGCTGTTTCTCTGTCCCAAAATCAAAGGTTTTGTGTTTGGTTTTCTTTCCACTAATGACCAGACTTCATGATTTGGGATATGTTGCAAAACTGTAAGCTACTTTTCACTGAGGTCACCTGAGAGAGGAAGAGTTACAGAGAAATTCTCTGCACAATATGAGGCGGGATTATAGCTGTCTTCCTTGCTCCCCAGTGGGAGTCTTGGCCAACCTCAGGAGAGAGCGCCGAGGCAGGTGGGAGATGGGAGGGCAGACAGAACCCACTGTCTACAAGTTAGGCCTCGGGCATTCAGTGGGAGAAGTCTCTTTCCTGATGGGGAATCCTCATGTTCATGACTAAGTACCCTGAGTCCAAGGATAAAAATTTCTTTTGTAAATACTCTCAGCCCTGAGTCTTGTTATGTCCACATACAAATATCCTGTTTGGATAAGACAGACTTCACTAACCACTATTACCAAGTTATAAAGGCTCTTCCCCAGAGTTCAACTGTGTTCTCTTGCTGGGGAGCTGGGCCTGTCCTATGTGCACCAGGTGAGTTAGAAAAAGCAGGATTCATTCCTGTCCTCAAATATTGCCCCAGTTCAGTGACACTGAAGTGAGGCAGAATTCAGATTTCAAACGGCATCAAGGCTGTCTGAAATCTATGTAATTGGACATCGCTTAATCTGAAACTTAAGAGGCCACATGGAGGCTGGAGGTAGGTATCGGGGACGGAGGTAGCGAGTGTCCTTTCATGGAGAGGCTGCATTCAGGGTCCAGAGGTGAAACTGAGGAGGGCTCCTCAGCCACGGAGTGGACCCACCGAATTCTGCAGTTTTCTTGTCACTTTTGGTGTTTTTATTGGGCCACTTTCTCCTGGGGCATCACTAAGACTGTGTGCTCTGACAACATGAATAAACCTGTAATATGTAACTGAAGGCTAAACACACTTGTACAAACTTGAGAAGAGCTGAGGACAAGGAAAGGTCCAAGTAGCTGTATGGGAAAAGTGGGGCTCGCCCCACATTGGAGAGATACGCAGAGATAAGAAAGCATTCCAGAAGCAACTAGATACAAGGTGCAAGATAGCATATAACACTCAGGCTGTAGCAAATGCTGTCCACTGATCATCATATTGGAGGGGTCCCTGGGAAAACTTTTGGCGGGGGTGGAGGGGGTATGATGAGCTCCTCAGCATCCATTACTTTACAATGCAGCTGATGTAACTCAAACACAATGCAATAGAGTTTGAACTTAGGTGCAAATGATCTATTTGAAATGTTGGTGGATGAGTGGCTTTTAGCAATATAACTTAAAGGGCCTGGGTGGACAGTTCAGCCTCTGAATGCTTGGTTGCTTTCCCTCAGAGCTATGATGACATCTAAATACCTATTTAGCCCTGTTTCAAAGAGCCCAAGGCTCTCTCCCCAGGGTGATCTGAAACACAGGACATACGCCTAGGCCAAGTCATTACTCCTAGGCCAAGCTGCTCCTTTTAGGACCAGCTGCCAGAACTGCTGTGCTCCCCCCTCCCATGTGGTAATAGATCAGATGCTGGGGCACTTCAGAGAGGGACAGGGCCTGGATGCCCTCCCCAGGGCAAATGTCAGAGCCCCGGTCCACCTGCAGTGGTGAGAAGTTGTAACCGTTTAGTTACGGATCCTTCCATTTGGGCCAGGGAGCCTTCCCTCCCCTGCCCATCAGGTCTAGATAGGTCAAGAGAAGACATGACTATGTGATTTATTTCTTCTCAAATCTTATGTATCTGAGTTCTCTGTGTTCTGAGTTCTCTGTGTAATGGCCTGCGAATTTAAAAGAAAGGGAATTTACTCTTGCTTCATCCTTGAACCTAGAAACTTAATCTTTAGGCAGGCTGAGACCGTTGTGGCACTTTTCTCATGGAGCACACACCAGTTCCAGAATCCACCTTAGCCAAGCACTTGGGAAGAAATAACCAGTCTGTTTGAGTTATGGCTTGGGAAGAAATCTGTTTGCTATCCCTGTGTTAGGAAGGAACAAAAAGAAAAAAACTTGGATGGATGAGAGAGGGTAGAACTCAAATGATCTTAAAAAGCCAGAAGAGAAGGCCTGATCCTAAAATTCAAAAGTGCTGGTGTATTCTTTAAATCGCTCTACTTGGGAAATTCAGAGGCACAGCCCTAAGGCATCTGCTGAGAAAACAATTTCCAATTTTGGCAGATTTACTGCCAGGTAACATTACTCAAACTTGTTTTTAGAAAAGAGTCTTAAAATGTGTAACACCGGGAGGGACAGAAATAGGAATGGCGATGGTAGCCCTGAGGCAGTGCATCCTTCGTGTTCTCTCCTGAAAGCTGGAGTCACGTCTCGAGTGTGGGAAATGAGCAGTCTGCCGGGTCTGCAGCCTGATGGACAGAAGGGGGCAGGACCCCGC